TATTGAATAATCTTATATCCTCCTGTCCTATGATAAAAACTATCCTCTACACTCCGAACATCTAAGGTAGTTTGACACTCACATAGTGGAATCATGGAGATGGATAAAATAAAGATGGCAATTACAACATTGTAAAGTAGGTAGCTGATACTGGTAAAAAATAAAAATGTATTGTTTAACTTACTATATTTACTCACGAATGTGAGCTTTAGCATTAAAAGTATTGGCAAAACTCCAATAAGATATTGGAGTAATCTTGTACGCCTTGGAAAAAGAGAAAATATTTATATTTTATATTATATTGTATCTTTGAAAAAACACCTTTGTATATGGATCAGACCAAATAACTCCTTATCCATGTCTCACACATACGTGTCATCACTAAATTTCTTTGCAGCAGGAGGATAACAAAAGTATAGAATTCTGCGTAGCAGCTACAATTATTGATTGCGAAAACCACAAATTTCTCAAAGCAGTTAACTTTCTGGCTAAATGTCTTGCTACTCCTCAATAATGTCAACAAAGTCGTAAATGATCATGCGATAAGAAGGCATCATGTATATATATATATATATATATATATAACATATAAAGTAAAAGTCATGTTTACAAGGCTTAGGCGAGAATCTTTATGTTTATGACTCATATTCCTAATATCCTTTTTCGATGACAAAGAATTGTTCGGTGGTAAGCGGAACGATGATCCACGCCAGTACCAAAGGGATGAACGTGTTTTTTGAGGCCAATATAGAATGCCCTTTAGATTTCAAAAGACCTTTTCTACAATTCAGGCTCCGTAATCTAAAGTACCTTTTTTTTTCCTACCGTTTAGCTGATTATTTCACATATATTAATTAGTTATACGGTCCAACATTTATGGTCTAAGATCTACTTTGAAAATGTAGACAAATTTCTACATGCAAAACAGGTGTTGCAAATTTCTTTTGAAATATCTTCATATCACACAACCAAATTCCTGATCATTTTTTTTGGCAGTCTTTTGATGTCATAAATCTCCTCTTCAATCAAACATCTAAATGATAAATTTTTTTACTTTTATTAAAAAGTTGTTTGAGATTTAGCTAATGTGATCTGCATGCCTCACAATGTTTACTATCTTAAGAAGAACAACACAAAATTCCACATAATCAATAATTTGGTTTAAAATTATTTAAAATACTTATTAATAATCACAAAAAAATTCCAAAACTCTCAATTTTACGCTTTGACAACTCTATTTTCAAAAAATTTTTTTGCAAAGAATGTAACTAAAGGTCTAATCAATTAATGTAATATTCATGCTCCACAACATGTATCTTTTGCTTAGAAAAAAAGCATAAACATTCACACAACTAAATAAAATATTTTTATTTTAAAAGATGCATCTTTGAATATTGACTATCTCAAATGAAAATACCTGTTGATAAAAAATAAAATGTAAAATATACATCTCATAAAAATATAATAATTTAAAGATGAAATTCCTCACACATATAGATATATGCTATATATATGATTATGCAATTAAAATAATATCAAAAGTCCTCTCAACAAAAAAATATCAAGTAGCTTGAGTAAATAATTCTTTTTTATTTTTTTACAAATGCAATAATTTAAGTTTGATGTAGAAGAATATCTAAGATAAAATTTTGTTGAGTTTACTTCTAGTTAAAACAGTTACTTTGAGTTCTAACTTTCTATAGCTAGTAAGTTTGCCTGGACTGAGTAAATACCCCAGTTCTGCCATGTACATGGAGTCTTTTGTGATAAACCTGGAATAAAGCGCAGCATGTTCTTGGTGGACGAAGTCACTTCAAAGGAATGAATCATGTTTCATCTTGTGTAGAGTGTAACTGTCATTTGCATGCTTTGCATTCACAAATTTATGATTCTAATAAATTATGATTATTTTGTAATTATCAAAGCGCAATGAATTGTCTTTCATGTTAGTGATCTTATTAACATTTATATATGTTTGTCACAAGAACCTCATTAACACCTGATATTTAGTTGGATGTAGTAGAATTAGATTCTAATGAAACTGGTGCAACATGTCTATCAATCTGTATGTGTGTATATATAAATGAATGCTAAAACCACATGAATTGTTAAAACTATCCCCTACGCATGTTCAAATGACATGTCAAAAACAAATTCTTTTCTCACGCAAGCTCAAGTATGAGGTGCGAGATTGTTTTTGGCTTCCCCTAATTCTTCGTGTGTAAAAACCATCGTCCAAGTTGATAATTTTATGTATCCAACATTGGCCTTGTAAAAAAGTATTGACCAGGTCACTCACAAGTTCATCTCGGAGGACGGCTATTTGCCACTAGAGATCAAAGATTACAAAAACAACCAATACTACGCTTTTGAGTAATTGTGAAGGAAAATTCAATTTTTGATATGAGACGAGTTTGTGATATTTTTAATATTGGATGTGATAGTTTTAACATTCCCCTATTTATATATTTATTTAGATTTATACTAGTATATTTTGATTGATATTTTGGGCTTTGTTATCGTCTCTTCAGCCGACTGCTGATCCCGTGTACTTGCAGATGATATTTTGGGGTTACCCTGATACATCTATCTGGGTGTAGAAGGTCAATTTTCTTCTCAGATCATTTTGTTGCACATTTGAAATTTCTTACAACAAAGGAAATAGTAAATATTTTCAATATTTTGAAATCTTACAATATCTTCTAGATCATTTGCAGATATCATTTTAGCGTGGTTTATTCTTGTAGGAACATCTTGATTTGTCCAGTTTAAAAAGTTTTGTGTTCACGATGTGATTCACAGCTGTTGTTATGACGTGTTCAATTACCTGCATTGCAGACGCAATTTGACCAAGACAGATTCAACTCGCAGCACCAAGCCCTTTGCTAATTGCCTTCAGGTAACTATGGGCAACTGCGACCTTAGGAAAGTGGACAGGAGGCACTTTTATGGTCCAGCGATCTACTCGGAAATTGACATCGTTGGGTTAGAAATGAGTTACACAATACTCCTTGTTTTCGTTAACTTGAACTACTCGCTGCATTCTTCACGAAGCTTTTCGGTGGAGGTTTCATTGTACAAATTTGGTACTTTTCCTGCCAAATTCATCTCGCTATGATCACGAAGGCCCTCGATTTCGAGCCTCGATTTGACTCGTGGCATGAAGCGAGCCAATGCAGTGGGAGGACAACCTGGCAAAGAAACTAATTCACAACAGATAATTTTTAGGCGAAAAGTTCGACAGGGGGTCCCACCCATGGAACAATAGCTCGTTGCAATGCTCACTTTTGCTGGCTAAAGTACAGAAAGAGAAAGCAGTCCAGTCCATGAGATTGTGTTACGGCCGAAATCCAAACTTACATCAATAATGGCTCAAAGTTCTGGTTGTGTTTGCAGTTGAGTGGCAAACCGTTGTTCACAGCAGAAGTTTATCGTTAATTTAAACTTCGCAGCGATCAAGCCAAGCCAGCTTATCTAGAGATGGACGTAATCACAGCGTCGTGGTTGAACGAGTCAACCACGAAGCAGCCGCTCAGTGCTCAGTGCTGCTCAGTGCTCGCTGTGAAGTCACTACAATCACTCGAATCCGGATTGACAGGCCGGGGCCCGGTCGAAGACGGGAGATCAGAGAACGGTCCTTCCGTTCGCTCCCCTCCCCGCTTGAGACTAGAGGAGAGATTTAGATTTACCTCTGCAAATTTGTTTGTTCGAGAGGGGGGGAGGGGGAGGGGGGTGGGGCTGGGGGCAGGGCAGGGTGTGTACGCATACCGTCAGATCACAAATCTGACAGCACATATCTCACAGAAAATCTTGGCAAGCCAATAATGCCGGTAACATGGGGGCGACTGCGACCATCGGATAGGGAATCGAAGGGTAAGGAGGAGGTGGGGGGGAAAAATGTGGAAGGAGTTTACCATGCGATGCAGGAATTGAGGGGGAGGGGAGGGGAGGGGAGGGGCGTCCGATAGGGAATCTGACGATCTGAAGGAGAAGGAAGAGCGCAACGTGAAGCGCAGGGATGCGCGGTGCAATTCCTTCATCAAATGCCGAGGGCTAAAATTAGACGGACTGATGATCCAGCTTAGCTTTTGTCGAATGCAGTTGAATACGAGCCGCAACACGACACGCAAAATATCAGGACCTGCCTGCACAAGCTGTTAGCTCCGCTCGAATGGAGTCGTTTGTCCTACGTCCAACAAAAAAAAGTGAGCTCGCCCTTCCTGTGGATGGGCTTCGCCCTGCCTGCTGCTCCCTGCTCCCTGCTCCCGCTGTGCATCGATCGAGTCCTCGCTCACCCCCTTTGACTCCGCAGTCGCCTGCAGCACGATGCGCCATGGGATGGGATGGCATGGGCCTGGCCTCGGCTCGCCTCCGATCCAGTTGAGGGCTGGGCTGGGTCGAGGACGGGAAGGCGAGAGCAGGCAAGCGTGACGACGAGGGCGTGGAGAGGAGGATCACGGAGTCGTGTTGACATCACCGAGAGCGCAGGCGAGTTCGTGGTGGAGCGCTCAGTGGTGGAAGGGCGAGCGGCCGTCGGATGGGTTAGCGGACGGTTAGAGAAGGTAACACGTCGATGATTCGTGAGCTCGGGCGGAGCTAAAGTTGGTGGGGGATGGGGACAGAAAGGAGCCGAGCCGGAACTATGGATCGCGAATAGTTATGGCCTTTTCGCCTTGCCAGCGAGCCGCTGTCAGCCTAGCATTGAATGTCCACGCTGCCGCGTGCAAGTGGCAAGTCAAACCCCAATACTGTAGTACAGTTTCGAAAATAACTTCGGACTGCATTCTATCGACAATTTCGCTAAATGCCAATCCTGCTCTCGTAACAGGATTATGAGGCGGCCAGGCCCAGCCTTCGGAGGCGGGCCCCCACCCACAGCTTGCAGATCAAGCGCACGCTAATGGCGGGGCCGAGAAGATCGAACATCAGGATTAAGGCTCGAATCTGGTGGGGACCGCTCGCCTTGGTCTCTTTCGGGTACGGATGACATGCAAGAAAGTGAGTGTGTAATGTTTCGGTGACATGACACTTACTTAGACTCCGCACAGCGACACAAGTCCTCTCTGGCTCCCCTCCCCTCCCTCGGACCCGGGCGCAGCAGCATCGATCCCCAACTATCTTCTATATGGTAGCGAGCCTGCCCCCCTGCCTGTTGTATCCAACAGTGCAGCAGCAGTACTAATCTCTCGACGGGGGAGCTCCCCTCCTCTCCCTCCGGCGTTGTAGGCTGTAGCATCCGTCCGCCAGTCGCCAGTCGCCAGTCGCCCATCGCCCTTTGCCCTCTCCCTCCCTCCTCTCCCTCACTCACCCCCTCGATCGCTCCTTCCCATGTCGTCGGAGATTTCGGAGCCGGTCGACCCGAACCATGGGGCTGGTTGGCTGGCTGGGTGGCTGCCAAGGCCTCGACGATGCGTTACGAGGCAGTTGGGGCTGGGGGCTGTGTGCTCTTGTCTGCACTGCAAGGAATTCGCAGTCGCGGGGCGCGGGGGCGGATTCCATTCCATTCGGAGCTGCCAATCGTGCTGGCTTTTCCTCGCTGGGTGAAAGAGCGGGACGCGAGTTCCGAGATTTTTACCTCGCGTCCGCAAAGGTTCCAAATTCCTCTAGAGTCGGACCTGACCTGATCCTGACCTGCTCTTGCCATTCGCATCTGGCACAGTAGCCCCGTAAGACCTCGGATCTCGGAGGTGGGTGGCCGACCTCTACTTGCACATTTGGTTTGACGCTGCACCGTACCCTGTTATAGATCCATGGCCAGTAGATACGTTCGCCCCGCAAGACCTGCAGCTGAATTCTGGAGATGTGTCTTTTGGCCATATCCTCCGATTCCGGGATTGCGCTATCTCGTGTGAAAAGTGGGATGGAGATCCGAGAACATTCATCATGGAATCTGTCTCCAGCACAGCATTGCGAATGAGCTTGGATCTCAATCCCACTTCTCGCATTAGATAGTGGGTCCATGTAGGATTCCCTCGAAGTTTCTTGACAGATGAACAATTCAGAAGAATTGGCACCAGTCGGCACCAGTGCTTCATTTCTCTGAATGACTAGCTTCGCTCAGAGCGGACACTGTGGGCAACGCTCCGCTCCGGGCGCATTGATCAAATTGTGGCACTGGCACTGCGATGGCGCACTGCCCTCGCCGGTCCTAGAGCGGAACGCGATGTCGAGCAGCGGCGTCTCACCGTGAGCTGGTGGCTTGGATTTGCTTCCCACCCTTTGGGACGTCCCGCACCTCTGTTGTGTCGATGCGGAATCGTTCGCGCCTGCGCCTGATGAGGTGCTTGCCTTGCGTCGCACTACCACCCGAGACGGGAATCTGCGCGCTGCCACGGCAACACTCCACCACCACCTCCTCAACACCACCTCCACTCAATGTCGGATCATATGGGGGCCGAGCCGCGCACTTTACCCCGCCTGGCCACCCATTTGCTCCACGATGATGATGATGATGATGACGGTGTAGATGGCTCTCCGAGAGTGCGTGGGTTTGCCATTCGTGTTCTGAAATCTGCACCACCTCCAGGCTAGCCCCGACAGCCGACCTACACACTCAGCGTCGGATGATCGGGCTTGTCAGACGGCGCCGTGGAGTCTGCCTCCACGGGCTGCCAGTGTGCCTGGCCTCGCTCCGGGCTCCTGCTCAGACTGGTAACCCCCGAAAATAACCTCCATTGCGCTATTGTGATATTGGCCCTAGATTCCGCGAATCTTGTCCATGCCGCTGTTGAATGTGGTCGCGAATTTTTCTCTAATCCGATCTGAGCTGGTTGTCGAGTGTTTTGGGCCCATTGTCGTCCGTGCTCCGCCCGACTCCTCGATTTCTGATCTGGCCCGCGTCGAGCTCTCTCGCAGAGATTCCCACTCACGATTCCTGTTTGGCTGCGGACTGATGCGCCATTTTTTCTTAAGCGCACGCAGGCCAGGCGCACTGCCTGCTCGTATCAGCCTCGGCTTGCAGGTTGATACGAGCTAATGGCCGAATGTCGGTCTTTTCACTTGCGCCTCACTGACTATGCTTTTGCTTCCGCGCTCGGATGGGAGTCTCCTCCCCGCTCACTCCTCACCGCATTGCTCTTCTGGATTTTACTGCATCCCAACCTCTCGTCTCTGACCGCTCAACTACCTAATTGGAACTGGAGTTGTGGGTTTCTGGACGATCAGAACTGATTTGGCTGGCTGGGTGTGCTGTCCGTGGCAGCGCAATTTCTGTGAAGTGCAGTGCAGTGCAGTATCCTCTCGATGTAATCTGCGATTCATGCTGATCCGATCCACCCCGACTGGACCATCGCGATCGGGCAATGTTGACGTGAGCACATGCACTGGGAGGAGTCTTGATTCGACGACGTCATGTCTTTGGACTCTGGAAGTGCTGATCCACTTCGTGAAAGCTAGGAGCCACACCTGAATGTTCTGATCTGTGAAGACGGTGTGAACCCACGCACAGCAGGAGTGGTACCCGCGACCCGAGCTCTGTTTCATTTTATTAGTAGTTATCATAATCTGTGACTTGAATTACTGAGCAATCCGCCGCTTGCTGCTCACTTAGCTCACCAGTACATGAGTGTTGGGCGAGATTGGGCTTGCCTTGTTCAGAGTGAGGTGGCCGAATTCCCCATCGTCTCGAAGCCGAGGACTGGAAGTGAGACACCAGCTCTTTACTTTGTGACGACCTTGATCCATGTGGGGGCTCGTGCACAGGAGGATAAGATTGTGTCTCCCGACGAGATAAGATTTTGAATCTCAGAGGATCAGTAGCATCGGAGGCTTGGGTTCCCAGGTAAAGATGACCAGCAAAGACGTGGACATGGGCGAGAACGACATTTATGACGTGGATTATGATGAATTGGCTTTAGGTCCCAGCAAGAGAAGACGAAGGGGCTCGGGCAGTTTTAATCTCAGTTTCACTACCTGCGCCACGACGACGACCACGGAACCGGAGGACGTCTTGCAATGTCCTTCCCCCGGATGTTGCCCTTGCAATTCAGACTCTGTGATGGGCGACAAATCTTCCAAATCAACGTGTACCTTGCGATTCCAGTGTCGGGTACCCGGTGTCAAGTTACGAGATCCTCAGGTATAACCCCCTCATGGACATCCTCGAAGCCACAGCATTGAATTTCAAACTGCCAGGTCTCCGATTTATCGGAGCGAAGGCCGAGGAAGACTGGAACATGATCTGTTACAGCTTGTTGTGAAATCGCACTGCTGAGCCAGCGAAGATCGACAACGAGGAAATATTCTTCCATGGTCTCACCATTATTCGTCTCAGCTGAAAGAAAATTCAGCATATCGAGCATCTCAAGATGTGACCCCGAGATCCTTTACTTACTAGTTCAAGCCTATTTCACCTAAGGCGTTCTCGTTCAAGTACGAGCAATCGTCACCCCGGCATAAGTAAGACACGACGATGATTCAATTGAAGATGATTCTTCTTGTCTCGCTTGACATGTGATCTACTGACATAAGGGTCAGACCCGTCGCCAGTACATGTTGCCAGTCAGTCATCAGCGACTATACTTCCATACTGGAAGGCCCCAAACATCTCGTAGAGAGCGAGCGAGCGAGTCGTCTTCCACTTTATGTAGCATCAATTTTGACGCGTACTGAAATTAATGTTTGTTTTTGACCAGGGTTCCATGGACAAGTCCATTGGAAGAGCCCTCTCCTTGTGCCATAGATACGGAGCAGAAATTCAACTAGGATCTGCATATGGTGAGAGAACCTCGATCATGGGATTTCCAGCTGCCGTCGATCGGGATAAATACAAGAAATGGATATGCAAGAATGATTCATACGAATTTCGGACTTCAAAGTACCATTCCAATTCAAGAAGTATAACTTTTTTAGATCGGCTTCGAGCCGCACAAGCGGCCAGTGCTCAATGTCCAGAGACATGAATCTTATTTCAGAAACAGGTTTATATTATATCCTTACTCTAGACTACTGTAAGTGACCGTTCCACACTATCAATATCGTATTTTGAAAGACCCGTTAGCAGAGGTCGTAATGGAGATAGGACAGGTTGTAGTAATTGGTACATTTTTGTACATACTTAGAACAAAGGAAGTACCAGCTTACACAAGCCCACTTTATGAATAGCATATGTCGTAGGCCTGGGAGCCTATGCAGATTCAATATATGGTATAAAAATCTGCACTTCACGTTTGCATGGTAGCTGAAACGCTCGTCAGTCACGGTGTAGCCTTCATTCTTACCATCAGTGCTTTCCACGCCATAAGCTTGTCATGCAGTTAAACCTTCTCGAAAGGTTTGCGTTTTGTTCACCGCCTGTTGTGCCTAGCGAGTGAAGGTGTCCGGGGATTCTGTAGTCGCTTCGGGTGTGTCAAATCTAAGCTTTCGAATGTATGATGCGTTACTCCCGTTTTTGCGGTTTAACACTGTCTGTGCTGCCTGTCTCCTAAAGAAAGACTTGGGGTGTGGACCTTATGAATGCGGATGAGGTTTGTGTTTTGAGCGTATGCAATCTTCGAGAAACATCTGAGTCATACTTGCTGCTGACGTTTGAATTCCCACGCTCTTACACCGACTGCTGCTCATGGTGTCCTGCCCCTCAAGCTCGCAGACGGTGCAAGTGCGACGGAGGAGGTGACGGGTGTCACCTACATCCCCACTGAGCCTATGGAGGTCATCGTTCCTGGTACGGATAAAATCTCATTTACGCTTCCTAAATGATCGTGTGCTCTGCTAGGAATTTCTTTTGTATGGCATATATCCAGTTCATGGCCCGGGTGAGAAATGGCCATAATTAAGAGCATTAAGTGTGCGATATTTGTTAGCATGGGGAGGAACTTTATTCCAGCTTCGAAACAGATTTGAATTCTCCCTTACGTATTCTGCAGTCCAGGAGATCTTTTAAATCTGGTCTGCAGTTGGCGTAATTATCTGCCGCCACCGATTCAATGCGTACGACTCGCTCCAGGCTCTTAGCGTGATATACTTGCCTTCACTAGTGTTGCCGTCACCGATGAATCCCATGGATCCATTTTCCTTTTAGTAGTCTGTACGGATGTTGATCTGGTGCATATCCTGATCATTACCGAAGAAAGTTGCACTGTACCCTGATGTTCCAGCGGCACCAGCTTTTAATCGGAGATGGTGCTATGGCCACCCGGATTCAAGATCAGGTAGACTTCACCTGTGCAGTCTTTTGAGTCCTTCTCGATGATCGCTTTGTATAGCGTGCATCAAAATCAGTAGCATGAGGCAGAAATGTACACCTTGAAGTACGGTGTGACAGATAGCTCGGAGGCTGCATGGAACTCCCTGTTTTCTCTCTCTCCTTCCCTCCCTCCCTGCATCCCTAAAGCAAAGCTTTTCTAACAAGCTCATGTCGTGTACACGAAGAGTTCGCCTTGGGATAAAGTAGAGGTGGAGTAAAATGTAGATGCTGTGACGTTCACCATGGCCATCAATATATCTCATCGTAATCTAAGAAACCGAACCAATGTGACGGATGGACCAGAATAGTTTAGTGTACATGAAATGATCACAGTAGTGGCGTTCCGTGTGTTGGGATGCTTGCAAGCGCTCTTAATGTCAACGTCAACCTTGTGAAGTCAGAGTGTCGTGTGCGACGTTGTCGGAAGTCAAGGAAAAGGCGCCTTTTGCTGGACGTCGACGACGGGACGAGCTCGGAATGATTTCCGACATACTGGTGACTCGTTCATTGGAGGAGGGTCCAATGCACCGATGATCCAATCAGTGGTGCAGTAGTCCCTTTTGCACTCAAGAGCGATGGTCATCGTCACTTTTGCGAAAGACTGCACAAACGGTATGCTCACAACATCCATCTCGGTGAAAACTATATCGATCCTGAAATATTATGATATTATCATGCGCTCTTATTGACATCGTAGGCTCAATCCCCGTCCATATTCATGCACATGCTCTCGAATTTAACTTCCCGGACTTTTCTCAACCGAGTACAGTATGTCCAACGCAACCTTCCATCTGCCTGCATGACCTGGCCGAGCCTGCTCAGACCAGACCTTACGAGGAGTGGTATCTCGCCTCAACCTGGTGTAAGCGATGTGCAGCAATCCGAGAATGTTTATGAGCCCGGGAGCACCTGTGCGCTGTGTAAGAGAACCTTCCGTGGCGAAGCCTCGCACTTACGTAGGGACTGCTCACCAATCACGCGAATTGAAAGACCGGTACTCCGTGCTCTCCCTCCCATTGCCATCCTCGTAACTGGCAACGTTTGGATGGTCATAACACATGACAGAAAGCACTGTCCGGATCCTGATGAGTACAATCTTCCTCATATTGTACAGCTCGTATCCGATCCCTCTCTCGGATATTAATAGAGGCCTTCCCAGCATTAAGACGGGGGCCGAGGATCTACGTGTTCGTCTGAAGGGCCGAATTTTATATTTAGTTCGAAACTCCAGCGGTCGATGTCGCATTCTCATCGAACTTGTGAGCTCATTTCACTGCAGCCTCAAGCTCCAGTCTTCCAGCCTTCCAGACCACCACTCTGAATTCAGCAGATTCCTACTTATCTCCGTCTTCGCTGCAGTCCTAAAGGAAGTCAGGAGATAGTCCTCTACCAAAAGTAGAGCTCACCAGCTCCTTCATGTCATTGGCTGCTTTCAGTGTAGCCGTCTTTAAAACAATCCAGAGCTTGATCCTACCATGCGTCCGATCCATCCGAGCTGCTTGTGGTTGGTCCTTAACCGAGACACACCCACCACAGCACGATTGCCAGTCATGGGTCTCGATGTACTTCATGTTCAGCCATCGTCGAGTACAAGGCTGACCAATCCCTGGCCTTTAGCTATTTTCTTACATCGCCATGTTTTGGTATCTACCCCTTTTTAAATACTTGATGTACATTTTACCCTTTTACGGAATGAATACATGCATCTATGATCCCCGGCCTACGGCTTTTGGACATATTCCTCGAAGGCGAACCTCTCATTTATGAAATGATTTGCAGATGTTCTCGCTTTCTCTTTACCTTTGCGCAAACTCCTTCCTAAATCGAGAATAGTAGACTGGCCTGCCAAAGTCTAAATGTAAGTCGCGGCACAAAAATTTCTTCCTATTTTTTCCGAATATTTACGTTCTCACTGAAACAGGCAAATATAAGTGAAGATTCTCTGCCTTCTACCTTCCGTAAAACAAAAGAGGTAACAATGAGCACGTTAGGACAGTTTTGAGGAGCATGAATTGGCAAGAAAATTAAAGACATCACTTTCATACATTGGCAAACTCTAAGATCAACACTTCTACGATTGAGAATACTGTCCTCAAAGCGATTGCTACAAATATTTGGATTCCTTGTAAGTACAAGAGGCTCGTATTGATTTGGTTCAGAATTTTAAAAGGCGAGAAAAGCATAAAGGAATGCGAAATTCGACCGCAATAATTACGGCATGAACCACATTGAAAATGTGCTTTGACTTCGTTCTCCAACATATTGTAAAGTAAAGTGTCATCAATGAGCACAGGCAAAATCACATCCTTTCTCCTCTTTATTGCGATGAAAGTAGTTTGATTATATTCATAAATATGTACTCCTCAAATCGACAAAAATTTATGTTAGAATTTGATGAATAGAATTACCTTTCTGTGATGTATTCTGAGCTGAAAACACGAGTGGTCTATCAGAAAAGATTATCTACAATGTATGGAACTCATCATCATTTCAAACCTTCAATGATACTTATAGAATCAATCAATTTTATAGATATATTTCCGTGCAATATTGTGTATTGGCTGGAAGTTAGATAGAGTACCATCTGCTTACGATCTTCTTGAACTATATAAAGATGTATGATAGTAAGATAAACCTCATTGCTTCAGCCCTTGAGAAATTTTCCATCAATATACATTTTAGTTAGCAACGAAAGATCTCAAAAAAGTATGGATTTTTCCAGAAAAAAATACGTAATAAAACACTCACATAAATAACATATTATCAAGATATGACTTTGAAGTTGAGAAAAAAAAAAGAAAAATCTTAAATAAATTCTCCATTTTTTATATATATATGAATCGTATGAACATCAGCAAAATTATTGGTTTTGATGTTAGATTATCTTAACTGCAAAAGTAATACATCTAATATTGAAAATCTACTATTTTCATCAAAGTTAATACAATAAGCTTGCAAAAATAGATACGAAAGTGAATATATACTACATTTAGTGCTCTCCAATTACATAAAACGGACATAGAAAATAAAATTTTATGTTCAAATTTGATCATTTGGCCGTTTTCATTGCTTGTATTACTGAAAGAATCAATGATAACAATCAAATGCATAAATTTCAAATTTTCTCAATATTTTTTTTAGATAAGATAAAAAAAATGTACTATGAAAAGGAAAAACCCATAAATATATATTCCGAATAAATAAACATGTGAACAGTTTTCTTGCGCTTACAACATTCAAAAAGTGCAAGTGAACGTAAATACGTTTGTGTTAAATTTGAATATACCTTCAATATTGCGAATAATTTTATCTAAAAATAATGAAAAAAATGCAATATAGTACTTTAAAACAAATTGAAATTCAAAACCTAAAATAATATCATATGTTTGAATCATGATTAAACTTTTGCAGAAAATAAAATACAAACATGATCATACTCTATTTTTAGTTATTTCAAAATTGGTATTAGTTTCAATTTTATTCTTCAACTTTCTTATTTCGGAAATAAATTCTGCAGGAAAAAAACCTGCAAATAAACGACTCTATAAAGTTTTCGTCACAAAAAACATATATGAATCTTTTGTGAAATTTCAGCTTACTAAAGTATCAAAGTGTAAATTTGTTAATAGAAATTCATCTTAAAGAAAGAAAGAAGGAATATATTGATATATTCAAAAAATTTGGGAAATATCTCCTTTATTTTTGTCTTCTTATTTTTATAAATCAAATACGTATGTATGAATACATTTCTATATAAAAAATTTGTTATTTTAATATAATAATCCTTGAATAGATTATAATAATTTTTTATTCTTTTCAATTTCATGATTTAGCAAGTTCTGAATATACATTACATATTTCATACTTGTTGACTTGCCCATATCTTCATAAGTATAAAAATATAGGCAATCCGAAATTCTAAATCTTTTTTTTTACAGCCAACGTGTTGTCACCATTTTTAGAAAATTTTAAAAAATGGAAAATATAATTTATTGAATTTGAAATAAGATCAATTATTGTAACAAATTCACATATCACTAATATAATAGCCTGTTTTTTCACACTTTAGGTTTTTTTCTTCCATTGCATATATTTTGATTTTAAGATACATTCATCAAGTAACATAAAACTATGAATATAAACTTTTACCAAGATATAAAATTATTTATTTATTATTATATATATGGATATATTAAAATTGATCGATATTAATAGCCATTTGTACAGTTTGTCAATTTTTTTAATTGAATTTTTCCTGATTATTTTTGATGAAATTTTATAAAAAATTGATATTTAAGTATATTAAGTACATTAAATCAATTTTCACAATATTTTTCTTAATAACCTTCAAAAAGATTTTTGAATTCACGTTTTTTTTCAAACTTAAATTTTTAGCTTAATTTTAAATTGATTTTTTCAGTAAAGTTTGTCATTACATTTAATTTGACTTTAACTTGCTATTTTCATGGAATTATTTTTAATATTTATAATGAATTTTACTTTTTTATCGTAAAATTTAACTCTACTTGTTTTTAATTTGACTTATATTTGATTTTTTCATAAAAAATAGTCTGAAATATTTTTTAATGTCAAAAAAATTTATTTTAATATTCATGAAAATTATCTTGTTATTTTGATGCTTTTAAGTTTTTTTTTCTTTAATTGGGAATGTAAGTACAATAACATAGTAGACTTTGATTGGATCAAAGATTTCTTAGAATTTTACATTAGACTTTTCAGTCTAATGATGTTATAACTAAAATATTATTCCAAATTAAACTGTCTCATTTTGCAACATAGCAAGTTTTTTTAAAATGCCAAGCACTTTTTATTAATAGTAGATACTATCTAAACTAATATCCTTGAAACCGGAGGTTTTTATCAGTTAATAGAGGTTATCAATTAAACCATGTCCGTAGCAACTGCATTGAAGCCATAAATTTTGGCGGTTGCGGGTGACGTCATGAGAGTGATTCGTGAGGAATGGTGAAAAGGAGCTAAACATTCAATCAAGCCCTACAATTGAATCCTAAACCAATCATAGCAACCATAACACACATTGGAAACACAACCCAGAATCAAACGCGCGGACATCTGCACCACCATCACACACAACACATCCAGAAGATGCAGAAATTTGGTGTTTAGCACACGACAATGACAAATGAGGTCCACATTGCTCTATGCCAGTATTAAAGGGACAACCTCAAAGTCACGCAAAAATAACTTGCGGCATGACTTGAGGACATCCACACAACATGAAGTTGTTCAATCAACCATTTCAGTCATACTTAAGCACTCTTCTAAGCTGCTCCAATTGTCAAACTCAACTGAAAACGTCAAAACGCACAGTAAAGTACATGGAGTAGGCTTTAGCAAAGTGTTTCCATGCGAATGAGTATCACATCAACATGAGCGGTGATATAGTCAAAGAGAGCGCAAAGAAGATACTAGACAGTCTCTATCCTAGGCATACTGCCTTTGAATTTTCTAACGGTTGGCTTGAGTCGTTCAAGACACTTCACTTTATCCGTTCATATCGCCGCTTTGGAGAGAGCGGATCTGTGATCATGGAGTTGATTGAAGATGAAAAGTCAAAGATTTGGAAATTCTGAAACAAGTATGATCTTGTAAACATCTACAACATGGATGAGACGGAACTGTTTAACACGATGCCTATGCATTTTAAACTCATGTGCAATTGTTCTCTCAAAAAGATACTACTGTATAACCATGACTTCTGTTATCAGACCGATCTCTCTCTTGCAATCAAGCAGATGTAAGGCTGAGAGCAGCACAAGGAGTCTCTCACGCTCTCCGTTTGTTGCAACGGCGATGATACTAACAAGCTTTTGTTGTGGGTCATTGGAAAATTCAAGAGTCCACACTGCTTCAAGAACATCAATTTCAACAACCTGGGTTGTATCTACTGTAGCAATGCAAAGGCTTGGATGACACAGATTGTTTTCCTTGAATGGTTCAAGTCATTTGACTAGCAGATTTCTAACTGAAAAGTTTTTCTCATCTTGGATAAATGGAATGTTTACATTACTCTAGTTGAAGTTCGTCATTGCACTCACATGCGAAACACAATTGTCTTGTAGCTTCTATCAAACACCATGTTAAAGCTGTTGTCTTGTGATGCTGGGATCATCCCAATTTTGAAGACCTAATATTTGCGGTCCTTTAACCACCTTCTCTAGCAACAAATGGAAGACAAGGTGTTCGATCCCAACAAGTTGAACATCCTCTAAGGCATCAGATTTGAAGTTCTAGCATGAAGGGATGAGATCAAACCCATGACAATTGCCAATTGCTTCAAAAAGTGCAGGATTTGGAGTGTGACCCGCATTACAAGGGAGAATCTCAAGAGCATGAAAATCTCAAGAGGAGGCCGCTATTGCAGAAGACCTTGTTGTTGAAGTGGGCGTCGTGGACTATGAGTTCATCAAAGATCTAGAGTCACAAATTCGGCAATTCCCTTATAGCAATCCAATGTACATCCAGATTCTTCTCAATTTTCCAACTGAAGCGGTGATCACATACCTACCGGACCTGGACGGTACCATTTAAGATCATCGGAGTTTGAAAATGTAGTTGTGAACTAAGACAACAGTGAAACGCTCCAATTCGTGCCACTGAAACACAAAGGATTTTGACAGATGCTTGATTACTTCAAGATGCATTAGGCATATTAGAGTATCATATCATGAGAACCCAGCAGCGGATGAGGGATAAGATTAGAGCTATCAAAACTTGCCAAATGGTACAGAAAGTATAAAGCTACTTTGACCGAGTTTAAATAGCACCTATGTAAGGTTTTTCAGTTTACGAAAGTTGTGGGACTTGACCAAGTTTATCAAATAGCATATTACGAAGGTTTATTAGCTCCACTATGGGGACCCGATTAGGTCCAGAAATATTTAGTAGTTTAGAGAGGTTATCAGGAAAGGCACTTTTGCTCTAGGGAGGTTCTACTCTAGCTTTTTTTCTTTTGAATAGGTGTTTTTAGATATCAAACATGATTTAGAAAACAAATTACTAATCTTTTAAAACATTTGTATTATGATATAACACAGCTCATCAGATTGGAAAAAATCTCTAGAGTTTGATGTCTTCATAGAAATTCTAGATTGAATTGTCTATTATTGCAAGATATCAAGTATTTAAAAATGTTAAACATTTTTATTTTGATTTTGCATAATACTTGTGTAGTGTGTATACACTAATGTAGTCTTTGGAAGAAAATTGCTAAATATTCAAATGAATACTATTGTTCAAAATCATTCATATATATATATATACATTTATTTATTTATTTATATTTAACAAATATGTTATAGTCATCACATATTTTGTTTGTATGTATGAATGGTTGTTTGTATATATGTTGTCGTATGACTGTTGTTTCTATATAAGTTTACTTACATACATTGTAGAAAATTTGTCAAAGAACTTGATGATTTGCATAAGTTTTAATAAATATTTTTAAATTTGACTTTCATTCTTTAAGCATAAATTAAAGTGATAATCACAATTATGAATCTATTATCACAAATAGTGTGATAAATGAGTATTCATCTCTCAATCAAGAGAGACTAATTAAAATATAAATATTTAATTGTGATATATTTAATGGTATATTTTTCATTGATCAATAATTTTTTATTAATTTTTTTTATCAAAAAATTAATAAGAAATTGACTACTATTGTCTTCAATTGAATTAATTTTAGCTGGTTATTTAAATATATTTTCTCATCATTCATGGTTATATAAAAAATATTTTTTCTTATTATGGATAATATTTACAAAATTTTATATATTTACATGATTTTATTGAAAAAATTAAATATTTAATCAATTTGAATATAAAATTTAACTCATTCATTCAATAATGTATTGATTTTGACTTAATACACTAAATGGCAAGTTAACATTTATGTAGTTTTGGAGGCTTTCAATGATATATAGTCATTTCAACTTATAAACAAAAGAGTTTTCAAAAAAACTGAAAAAATTATGTCAAATTTTCATGTTTTTAAGATTATAATTTAATTATATAGATTTTAATTAGACAAAGGAGTGAATGGTTTATATTTTGTTATGATGTTATGGAAAAATGACATAATAAGAATAAAAAGATAAAGTTATCGAGCAATTGGAGAACATAATATGTAATCAATTAAAACAATGTTTTGCAGATTACAATGAGTGATGAATATAGAGTTATCGTGTTTAAACTTGTTTGAGTTACAACTATGTAGATAAAGTAACAGCATTTTAGATTCACAATAATCTATGAAAAATGATCAAATTTATATATATGAAATATTGCTAATTAAAAGAATTGTTGAAAATGTGATCTAGTAAAGCTTCTAGTTAAAATTCTGAACAATATATCTTTGAAGCAATATGTTGTGTTGTGTTTTGTATTTGTGAACATGGTCTATAGAATGTTTCAATCCATTAACCTAAACAATCGAATTTCAGTATTTGCATCATGGAGGAAAAGATTAACATATTGTTTGAGAATCTAGTTTTTTTTTTCAAAATCATAGTATTTGAAGTGCATCATGTTATGGCTATCTTTTTGTATTTGATAAAATTGATTTAGTAATATTACAACAATTTTATATAATAATTTGCAAACTGATTTGATATAAAATTCTATCTTGAGCTCTGCAGTTTTATTGATTTCTTCATGTGGAATAATATGTTGGATTCATCTAGTTTATAATTATGGATATGAAAATGATTATTAATGATTTATATTTTATTATATATCTAATTTTATAAATGAATATTATTTTAATAAAAAATGTACTTATGTTGCTACATTTTTTTACTAATTTTTTTTCCTGACACAAAAGTCGAATTTGATAATTTTAAAAAACTTGCGAACATATAAAACAACTCTCAAAATGAAAAGATGCATTTAATCCATCAATACTTCTTTATAATTTCATTAAAAGTTGTTTCAAAGTTTCATTCATTATAATGTTTGATTGTTTTGAAAAGCCAAAATCTTTTATATTGAATTTTGGGCTTTTTTTAGAAATAAATAAATAATTTAACTGAGATATTCCTATATCAGAACATACATTTTAATATGTATGTTCATATATTTAATTCAAGTTTTTCAATTAGCAGATTGGAATTCTTCTTATACTAAGTTTTAATACTTATATGATTTTTAAATGGCTTGAATAAATATACTGTTTTATATATTTAAGGAAGGATTTGTCATTTAAAATCTTGAACTTGTGATAATCATTAAATCTGGGACTGTATATATAACACTGTTAAAAACACATTTGTTATTTTCATATTAAATACAGATGTTTTGTAGACTTCTGAATTGACATGATATTAAAAGATGAATTATACAGGTAGCTGTTGGTTTGAATGATGAACAATAAGTTCAATTTTGAAAAGATTTCACGAATAGGATATAAAAATTAAAATTCGTATTTTATAACATACAAAAAATAAAATTTTACTACAAGATGGATATTAATCTTAATTGTTAATTTATTTGTAGAAAATATCATTTTGGGATAATCTATATATTATTCTGCATTCAAGTTTAGATTTTTCCATGTTACATATCATGTTACATATGCTAATTTCTTATTATTTACAATTGGATTCCATTATTATTTGCTATTTTCGTGCATTCATATTAATTAATTTCATACCATTCATATGGGTATATTTCATATCCACTTCAGCTTTGTATTACACTATAAGAAACATTTGATCTACACATATCAATTATTAATATTTATTATTAAATTTAGAAGGAATATTTTTAAAAGTTATCTTTGTATTTATCTAGAGAGGCACGTGTTAGAGGAAAAATTTGCTACCATGAAGCTACTGGGCGACTGGAAGGTTTCCTTGTATCACGTCCTGTTTTTAATATTTCTTGGTAAATGCGCGTACCATAAAAGCTAAGGGATATGATGTGGAAAGCTTGCCAAAGAATGTCATTTTTCTATTGTAACGAGACGAAGAGTTTGAATGGATGGAGAGTACGAGGTGTGTCGATGTGAATGCGAAGGTAATTAAAGGAAGAAGCTTGTAACTCAATGCAAACGAAGTGCACTCCACATCCAGATTGTCTTCATGAGCTCATGCGCAGATTTGTCGTTTGTGTTTCCGTCGGCAAGAGTGTGTGTTCAGTGCGCAACAATCAAACTCGTGCACAATCACACTCGCGCGCAGATCTATTCCCGCGCTAATGGTGCTCTGCCTGTCTCGTTGAGTAGTAGCTTGAGAGGCAATCGATCGATTCAGCAGCAGATTCAACATTTGCTTTGAGTTTCGCACAGTGCATGCAGAGGATCCATTCCACCTGGGTTGGTGAATGACGATCAGGCATAATTCTCACGCGGAGCCAGAGTGTGCAAGAACTATGGGGTTTGAAGTTCTCCGTTACAATTTCCAGATCGAGAGATCGATGGATTATCCCCGGCGTTATGTATTGTAGGCCAGAGAAATCTGATGGCCGCACAATTTTGAGGTCTAGATAGTTTGCCTGACCGAGAGAGAGAGAGAGATAGAGAGATGGCAGGTATGATGATGGCCACTCCTGAGATTGGAGGCGTAGCAGGAGCTCCGAATGAAGGCGTTTTTGATGCGGCCCATGTGGCGGAAGTGAAGACCTGGCTGAAGACTGTGTTTGAAGCAGTGGGACGGGAGGTGCCAGATTTCGAGTATACTCCTCGTACCGTGGCTCATTTGCACAATATATGCACGCTGTCACAAAAACGCACGCAAGCTGCCACAATCGTTGCAACGGATCTAAGGCAGAAGGCTGCCGAGTTTCGTGCGGAAGGTACTCCAAACCTCACAACAAAGAGAATGACATAGCAACAATTGGCAAGCAGTTTTTAATTGCAACACTTTCTAGGTTTTGTGCAGGACCCATGTTCAATTCCTGGGGTCCCTGGAAGTTTCATTCCTCGAAATGGAAAAGAAATCATCATCTTTTATGAGCTCATTTATGTTTAAAATATATCACATCTTCCATTAGCAGCCTTTATGGAAGATGGTTCCCAGCTAATTTCAGATTGACTGTATTAGAATATTTCCTTGTAATCTCTCCTCATAGGATGTCTTTTATCCAGGAATGAGTCACAGTACAAGAAATGAAGTAGAAGATAAAATTTGATCGAGGGCGCTGCCTCTTTGAAAGCCCAAAAAGTCAGTCAACAATATATTTCTGAACTGAGAATGGTCGTTGAAATTTGACAGTATGATATTTGGTGTAAATGCAGCTGCTCGAGTACGCGAGATCTTAGAATGTGCTGGTTTATCACAAGAGAACCTATCTCAAAGTGGGGTTGCATCTGCGCATACACTTGCCACTGTGGCCCAATTATTGGACATTAATAACATGGAAACCAGCAGGTAATCTTCGGTTTGTACTTTTTCCAGTGACAAAGTGCAATTTACTACGCTTGTGCAGGAACTTGCGTACACTTGCCAATAGCGAACGTCAGTGGATTCATTCATGACTTGAAGATTGTATAAACATAATGCACTAGTCCTTATTCAGACCCCAAAGCAGCCGCATTTGTAATTCATCGTTATAGGGGCTTTCATTCTGAAAGGATAGGTTAATAAGGAATTTCTTGGTTGATGCCTGGAAACTCCGAAGTCCAAACCAAGCTCAAAAATGTAAATAAGTGTCACTACAGATGGAAGATTTTTCTCGCAGTGGAATTTTTCCTTACTCGGTAGTAACCCTGTCTACTACTGTACTTCTGTCCCACCTTCTCCAAGGAGCCATTCTCTTCACAGGATACGGGGTCTTTGTTCTTCAGTTTATTACAGCCAGAGGAATAAGTACATCAAATCAATATAAGGTATCGTCTGCATGGTCTCTGTCCTCATATCAAGGATTTGGACAAGACGTTCCCGAAAGGATTGAAGTGATAACTGGCTGATGGATATACATGCAATTAATTCATTGTTCCGTCCAGATCTATCGAACGCATGACATAATATTGTTCTTTTGGCCTGTCATCAGAAGAACTAAGATACCTACTGTCAAACCGTTTGATCATGAAGGAGAAGCGAATGCTGTTTAGCAGAAGTATTAATGGTTAGCGTTAGCATTAATCCGTAGGGGATGGTTGGTGATTTAAATTTGAACTTGTTCTTCGGCAGCTTTTTATTGGCGATGGCAGAGCTCTCGTTGAAGAAGGCCGATGTTGAAGAGAAGAGATCCAGAGCTCAGAAAGAGTCGAAGATGCTGCTGGATAACACTCGTAAAGCTATCGCTAGACTCACCTATCTGAAAAGGTGAGCTGAAACAGTTGTTATGATGAAAATCAGCGGGAAAGAACGATATTTTGTTCATGTTGTTCCCTTGTCGTCTGTGCTTTATGTTGGACGTTGACTGAAACGAGGGTCGAGGAAGATGGCTAACTTTTACTGGAGAGACTGAAGGACTCTATCACAGCTTGAAGAGGAGGCTGCCGTTCGTGAGGGGCCCATGATGCAATGGCAGACCAACCTAAAAATGATGGCTTCAAAAGAAAGACAATACCTTCAGCAGCTTGCCAACTATAAGGTGAAGAGGTTTTTTCCTTTGGAAGGGACGTTTTGAGTATTCTCTGCTTCCTTGTTGGTAGAGACCGTGATGCGGACAAATTTGACGTATTTGACATCATGAATCCTCAGTCATAAGATTTGGACCTGACCGAGCTACAGGACTCATTGCTTTGTAAACTTCAATGAAGATTTAGAGACTGATTGATGTTGGGGAATTTGAAGCAAGTGATGTGTGCAAACTTTTCAGGCTGTGCTGGCTCGTCTTGGCTACACGCCTGAGATAAGTCATGGTGTTCTGATGCAAATGGTGGAGTTGCGAAAAGACCTGGAGCGGAAGACAAAACCTATCCTTGACACGCTTCGATCTTACCAAGATCTACCTCCTGTATGGATCCTAACTATCACCATAATTATTCGCTCATTTAGAATTTCTGTTACATGATGGTGGCTCAGAGTATTGAATTGCCGTCTTCAACTTTTTCAATAACCTTCAGTCGAACCACGTTTATATGGATTCACTCCTTGCAGTGAGTCATAAGCTGCGGAGTACCGTGCCGCTACTGATATAGGCAACTGATATATATCCTCACTACCTTCTTCGCTTTGGTCAAGCAGCCGACCAAGCAGCCCAATTTTTAACTCTTGCATTGGCGGAAGCTTTCCACTTGTACTAAAATCGAGGCTATAGTGATTTTTTTCTTGACCAGTAATATCCCGTATGCTCATATCATAATTCTTCTGAACAGGATAAAGCATTGGCAGAATTAGCCATTGAGGACAAAAGAAGAGAGTATGAAGCTGCAGAGAAATACCTGGAGGATGCGTTACATTCAGCTCTGAACACGCCGAATGACTGATTCGAGCGGTCATTTGTCACGAGCTAACCGAAAGGTCAAAGTCCTGAGGAGGAAGCAATGCATGTTCAGGAGTCTACTGTACTAGCCATGGTCCCTTTGCTGGGCATGGCTGCCTGAGATCGGCATTCCATGTCCATATGATCATTCTTATGAATACTCAGTTTTTTTTCATCCTTGTGTAGCTAGTAGAATAGATGAAGGTGTAAGAGTGTATCAAACAACACCCCTGCATAGTGTTAGTTTTAGTGCAATGAGCTGGACCTTCCGCTGTCGATTAAAGAAGAGGTAAGCTTACTGGATTGTAAGCGTAATTCGTCGTTTCGTTGCCATGATATGTCCGATTGGGAACCGTCATTGGTGTATAAACTGTTGATGTTTTTGGATGTCTTCCCATCTCTAACGTATAGCCTATGGAAAACTTCTCTGTGAATATCTTTATTGTACCACCATACGTCCCGCTGTAGTATATGAATATGAAAGTTGTTCTGACACGCCTTAAGAACTGACATCGAGATCGTTGTATGAATTTTGTCCTTAATTCCGTTCTCAGTACACGAGTTGATAGTTATGGTATGTTTCTGGGAGGTTGAATAGAGCAGTTACGGCTCAATAGTTGTGCTGAAAAAAGCGGAGGCAAGTCGGTCCGACCATTAACCCTTAATCGGCTTCTTGATGTTTTAAACACCAAGTCACCATCTGAGGAGGCTTAAATTATTAGGTACAAGTCGAGATTGCATCAATTTCAAAGCAGGTTTGAAAGGATAAGTCTGATCTGTGTCGTTTTGTCCTGAAAAAGACAGCAGGCCAGCTGGGCATTTTGCCCAGCTTGATTCTGTCCTTCAAAAGCAGCATATCTCAGTGTAGAATGATGTGCAGTCGATGAGGTTGGTGGTTACAAAATGCGGATGTCTTTTGGTTTCTAGTTCATACTAATCTTCCCTTGTACAAACGTTTGTCGTCTAGAGCACGAAGGTCGCAGTAGGATAGAAAATCTCTACATTTCATGTGTTTTAAGGTTTGTAACGTATGTGACAGAGTTGGTCAAGTTTTTGGTTTCATCTCCATTGCTCTAAATATGAACTGTCTGGACGAAGTGCATCCACAGAAGGTCGTTTGAAGACTGAAACTGCTTTGGAATCCGTACATATTTCTGACGTACGTCGTTTTAACGGGAAGTCAGATTTCAGTACACAAAAAATTAGTACGATTCTAAGCATCTCAAGATACTGATACTGGGGGCCAGCCAAAAGTATCGTGTAATAGATTGCTGAAAAAAGTACTCATCTTACAAATGAAATTTCTTTTTTGGATTGCCCCCTCGTGGCTAATTGTCGTTCCTTTTTGCTGCCTCATCGGCTAGACTGTTGCCAGCCATTACTAGCTCTCAGCAGTCTCGGTACAACTCTAGAGTAAATGCTACTTGTCAGCGTTCGCAGGATTGCCGACAGCCTTTTTGTTCCTCTATCCGGAGCCCATCGCACCCGATTGAATTCAGATCTCCATCACTACACCTTGGACAGATGATTGATAGCATCGTACAAATGTAGAGCGTCCATGATGCTTCCGAATCAAGACAGCGTGTCGTATACATCTCAGCATCAAGGCCATCTCCGAAGTGCTGGATTGATCTTCCCTTACTGTAGCAGTCTCAAAAAATCTCCAACATTGGAAGTCGCATATACTTCCAACCACTACAGAGCTAACCAGCGCTATGAGCAACCGAGCTAATTTTCTGGATCCAAGATACCAACAACGGTCTAACACTTGGTGTAGAGTTCTGATCACTTGCCGGGTACTGTCACAGAGGTGCTGGTTTCGTCTCTCAACATGTCCTTGGAGATTCCGTTATGTATTCCCTCAATTGAGCTGACGATGATGTCAGTCAAGTAAGAGTAACATAGTAACATCTTGGGTGGGATACCTATGTATGTGTGGTTTCAGCCTAAGATGTGGAGCTATGGAACGCAACAGGCAAGCAATGCGCGTTTTCCACGAGAACCTGTCTCTTGCTGAGGCCTCTAGTCAAGTACAAGTTTTTCTGAAGCTTTCTCACGATTAAAGATGGACATTCACATGCGATTCTGTTGGTCTCACTGTGCTATTGGAGCTCGGGATCACTGTTGATGTGAAGATGGACCAGCGCTCGCGAGGTTCATTCAATGCTAGCCCCACAATGTCTCCCTCCTCCTTGATACCCTAGCTGCTTAGACGAGTAGAAGTAAAAATTCTCCTGAGATCTCGAAGAAGCCTGTTTGGAAGCAAGTCAAGAAGATTCCGAACGATGTCACATAGTACAGTGATTCTTATCTGTACACTGAACGTAGAACGTAGATCATATGCTAGACGTGAAGATTGCTCGTCCTGTACACGAGTTCTACACAACCACCGCACAGCCGGCTGCTAGCATGGGGTCCTGTCAGGAAAGAACCAAGTGGACCACTCTGGCAGCCCATTGTTTCTGAAGTTCTGAAGGCTTGAAGGTAGGACTGAATTTGGCCGCAGCTGCAACGCGACATCATGGGTCGGATCCATCTTCGCTCTTTTAGATCGCGTTTTGACAAACAACAATGATACTGATGTACAGCATCCGTGAGAAACGCTAGCTGGGGAGGAAGAGGAAAGGGGTGAAGAAACATTAAAGTACTGCTCGGCCGCAGACTATTCATTCCCTGTTGCGAAGGTCATCATTCCTCCATAGTGGGAAGAGAAGAAGCTCCCTCCGTTCCTCCCTTCTGCAGCAGTATGCAGTTCGTAATGAGCTTGTCCTAGATTATGCCGAGCCTTCCGTCTTGTATTTAGTGGCCAGTTGTCTTCCCTAGCTGGACGTTTATGCTCGGCAGGGCCTGCTGCCGCTATTGCTGCTATTGTTGTTTCGTACGGTCCTCCTTTGCTCTCGAGTTTCTCTGGCATCATCGGAGAGTACGATGAAATCGTTTGCCGTCTCAAGGGGGCTGCACCGTTGACTGTTTTATCAAGATACCTTTAAAAAAGACAGTGGACGAGAAACATTCAGGTGGCCTCACAGATGAGCATAGAAGTGCACTTTTGCTCTTGAACCACCACCCTTCCTTCATATTTTCTGAGTGCAGACAAGGTGAAGCCCTCTAGAGAAATATTGGTGACCCAGTAGATATGCGAAATTTGATGACTGTTGTGGGAACGAAGTCCCAGGTTACTTACTTAATTACAGGCGACATCCTCCTGAGTTTGCCAATGCCATGGATCTTGACCTTCAGCACACACGCTGGATAGGATTGGGTTATAGTCACGTCACTTTACAGTTCTTGCTCACATCAGACAGACGAACGTACCGGCGTTAGCTTCCAATGGAGATGCTTCTCTGGCACTGGATGGATGCTAATCTGCATGATCATGCTGATTATGATTGCTATGCTACCGACAAGCCGAGTGGCCCTGAGAGCTCTCTGCGTTCAGCGTTGACAGCCTCATTCGTCGCTCGAGTAGTTGACAAGTTGACCGTCGAGAGTTCTGTATACTAAATTCTGGCGCTCTGCATCGTAGAAAGGCCTTTCGCATACATATTCTTTCAATGGATGCATCCCGAGTTTCAATTGCCGTACAGGTAGACCTCCAGCTAGAGGTATCACCATGCTGATTCTGAATTAAGATTCTGGGGTCTGAGGAGTCTGAGGAGTCTGTGGTCATGGTTCGGGACTGATGAAGTTTGAGCACATTGAAATGAATCAAAACCGAGTTAAGCTACTGTACCCCTGGATTATGGATCTGTAGTCCTCTTGATTCATCTCTGTTCCTGTTTGGCCCATTCTCCGTGCATTCGTTTGCAGCCTTGGGTTGCTCGAGAACTCATTATTGCCGAGAGAGGGAGAACTAACCGAGTCGAACAAAACTGAAAGCAGCCCACTAGAGGAAGGCCGATTGTGATGAGCCTTGAAGGAAATCCAAGAAACAAGAGACTCAGACATATGCAGCGGCTCTATCGAAGGGCCACATAAGCTGATGAAAATTCCTTCTGGAATGATGATATGAGAGTGGAAGACATTTCAGTTCTCACCTTACGGCTGCTGTCCCCAAGCACGAAGTTTCGTGAGGCAGGCGACGCTCGATCGTTGCTGATGCGAGCGACGAGGTTAGTTCAAAACAGAACATATGACCGGTGCAAAACTTGTCCTACGCTTCTGCTGCAAATTCGAGCGAGGTTCAGTGCAAGGTCGATGGGTGACTCGAACGATTGCTGTGCACAATGTAACCTGGAATGAATGAGGAGTGCTCCAAATTTTTGGTTGCAGCAGTCTCGAGACGCAATGAAGGAGAGCAATGATCGACTCTCCTCGTTCACCTGATGAAATAAGGACCCAACAGCACCAAGTTAGAAGCACAAGTTCCTGTGGCCATGCCTGAATTCCTCAACTCGAAATATGATCTACAACGTCCCACTTTCATCGTGCACCGGGCGTGGCATGAAAAATGAATGATCTCTGAGTTATGAGACAAAATTGCGCTGTTTTCAACCATCCGGCCGTCGATGTCGATTGGGCATCATTGGCCCCGCCTTGTGAGTGGATTAGGTGCATTTGCAGTGACGAGAGAACAGTTTCAGATGAAAACGTTCCGTCCCTGTCTTGTTTTAGAGTATCTCCTGTCACTGCAGAAAGTTATCACTCGTCGATAGATTCAAAATTCGTCGTCATATGCTGCAGTAGGGTCCACGGCATGAAGTATGGAGCGGCAATCGGTTTGATTCTTCGGCTCGGAATCTGGTTTGTAAGCGACATCGAACCTGCTCTATATTCGAGGGTACAGGAGCTACATCTCGTACGTCGACACGAGCAGGAGCAGGAGGAATTGGAGGGCTGGTCTAGCTGTGCCCGGAGCATTCCCGGACGGCAAGGAATGGTCAGTGAGTTGTAGAGGGAGAAAGTCTCAGGAACCTCTACCGTCGGAGGTGTTCGACGGAACTGGTTAAAGGCTGGAAGCATCGATCTCTGGGATTCTTCGGGACTGTTCGTCTGTCGTCGACATATTGTCCTCTTCTCGATGAGCGATTTGCGCTTCTCTGGCCAGCTTTCATTGTCATAATCCAAGCATGCAATCAATGCAGCGTGATGGAACAGCCTTTTCCTCCCTCGATGTACTGCGCGGGAAGCAAGGAAGCAAGCAAGGAAGGAAGGGACTGTGGCCGTGATAGTGATAGTGACAGTGACACCACCACCATCACCATCATCATCAAAGCAGCATCGAGGGTTTCAGAGGGGCCAAGCGAGAGCACAAGGTTCGTTCCTTTCGAGGTACACCGCACTTGCCCTCCATGCGACTTGTACGAGCAGACCGGTCTCCATACTTCATTCATTCGATCGAGAAAAGGATCAGATGCATCCATTGCAGCAGCAGCCTCCAACAAACTCCTGTACTGCCGTACTGCTGCTGCTGCTGTACCGCATGCACGAATAACCTGCTTCTTTCATTTCGCCATCCTAGATCTGGGCACGACTCATGCGCCTATCACTTGTAATGATCAGCTCTATCTCCGGGCCTCAGTACATGCACCGCTTTCCTTCCGGTCCACCGCGACCGACGACGACGCTCATGGCCAATGTCCTCTCCCCAACGCATTTCGTCTTGTCTTCTGTCCGAGGGGAGGGAGGGAGTGCTGTACAGATTCTTGTCCAAATCTTGTCGAGCTCGACGGTCCTTTCTCTTGCGCTCGTCCTTCAACGCTGTCACCATCGCCAGAGCTTACAGTACTTCCGTTAACGATGTTGGGCTCGTCCTCCATGCCCACCACATCGTGCACGCCTCGAGGTCAAAGTTCGTTTGCAGATCGTTTCTGAATGTTCCGACTCGATTCAAGGTCGCTCGGACCGTGACGCTCATGCTGGCCAGGACAGAGCAGGATTACAGCCCAAATCCTCGAATCCCTCTCTACGGACCTTTTGCGTGCCCCCGTCACCATCGCCGTCACGGCCAGCGCCACTGGACTGTGCAGTACTTCCGTCGAGGAGTTTCGTTTCGTTCGGGTCCAAATGTACCTCTCGAGGCCCCCCTTCGATCGATCGCAGCCACCACATCCGTCCGGGTCAAAATTCGTTCTGAGTTCGTTTCGGACCGTGACGCGAGATCGATAGGATTTGCTTGACAACGAAATGTCCACGGACGTCCTGCAGCATTCGATTTCGGTTTCGAGCTCGAGCTCGGTCGCAGTTGCGGTTTCAGTTTCGGTTCGAGCAGAGGACGGTACGACGGATCGACCGAACACTACAGGACGGTACGGCGCAAGCGAGAGGAGAGGGCCAGTCAGTCAGAGGAAGGTCAGTGTGTCCTGGAGCGAAGAAAATGGAGAAAGTGACGAGTCAAAGCTTGAGCAGTAGTACGGGGGAGGTACAGGCCAGACGTCCAGAGCTCAGAGAGTCCACAGAGCACAAAGCCGTACAATGATTGATCTCAGTTTGCACCGAGGATTTATACCGCAAACAGGGGTACGTCCACGAGTCATAATGAAAGATTCGATCCAATCTAGAGCGAGAGATTTCAGACAGTTCAATGAGTGCCGCGCATCGCCATTAATGCCTACGTGGAATTTATACACCCAGAATGACAGAAAAGTGCTCATGGCGCCCGAGTCAATGCACGGAAGCAGGCCTCGCTCGCTGAATCCGGTGGTCGAAAGGGAGACAAAATTAGCTGGACCAAGGAAGGATGTTCTGTACAGCCTTCCCCGAAACTTACAAAGTCGTCTAAAAAGCCCCCATGGACTATTTTAGTGCTCGCCCGCCCTGTGGCTCAGAGCAGATCTACCTGTGGCTGAAAGGCCTAGAGAGAGGCCCAACTAACAAACCAGAAGCCAGAGCGAGGAATCGTGGACGGGGAAATCAGCAAATGAGCTTGAGATGGAGATGGAGATGAAGATGAAGATGCATGTGAGAGCATGGCACCATCCTTGTCGTCGCATTGGCAGTGGCGGGGTATGTTTGAGATTTGACCAGGTCGGTGGGGCCCCGAGGTGGCGTAAGATGTGTCCATGCTCAGAGTTGGATCTCTATCTCTGGGACCTCTCGAGTCTCGATCTGCTGCTTGCTTCGCAGTCAGTCAGACAAAGCAGAATCGCGAGACGAGGCCGGGTCCGGCAGGGCAGGGACGGGAAGGACGAGCCCCGCCCAGCCTCGCGCCATCGACCATCGGCCATCGGCATCGGCAGCAGCAGCAGCGGCATCAGCATGGATTATAGTTGAGGAGGGAGGCTCAGGTGAGAAATTCGATTCGCGAGCTGGTGGCATGCGTTCGGCCTCATCATAAGTCGAGTGCGTCCCCGGCAGGTCGAGTGACAGGCCTCCGCGTGGCCGCTGCTGCTGCTGCATCCATCGTCGATGGTCTATGGAGAGCTGACATTGGCCCTCGACCTCCTCGACCTCCTCGCCCTCCTTCCTTAACCGCGGGTCGCTCTTATCTGAGCGACGGTGGCACCACCGCAGGCCGAGCACATTGGCACCCCAGCAGCAGCTTTCTCTCTCGGCTTCGACGGACGAATGTCGATTTGTCGATTGCCCGGCTCCTTCATCCCTTCATCGCCTTGCCCTGTCCTGCCCTGCCCTGCCCTCCTCCTTCAGCTCTCGCGCTGAGGCCTTGCTTTCGAAGCGCATCGCATCGATTCCAAGCGGCTGACAGCTGATCTCGCCGATGTGGTGGTCGTCTGTGCAAGCCAGCGGTGAGAAGGCCAGGGCTCAGATCTACGCCTTGCTCAATTCGTCGCCCTTGAGCGCATTCTGGAAGTCTGACGACGACGAGCTGAGCGAGCGGGAGCATCAGCAACAGCGGGGGCCGTCTGAAATGGAACCGGAGTCGTCGGGCGGCGATCAGCAGCAGACCGCGACGACGACGACGACGATCTTCGAAGTGCCGTACGACGCGCTGCACAACGTTCTTCTTCGGCTGCCGTTACCCGACATCGCGCGCCTCTGCTGCGTGTGCAAGCGATGGGACGCGCTCGTGCGCGCTCTGAACGTCTTCCGCTTCGGCGGGGGATGCGCGGCGTCGTCGAAGCCGTACTGCATCCGCGTGCGCAAGGACTGCCGCGAGCTCGAGGTCTACGACCGTTCGCTCCGCCGCTGCCACACGCTGTCGCTGGACTTCGTCGCGGCCTCGTACGACAAATTGTCGCTGCTCGCCTCGGGCGCGGGGTTCCTGCTGCTGCGAGCCGACGACGGGGCGCTGATCGTCTGCAATCCGCTGACCGAAATGTGGCGCGAGCTCCCGCCGCTCGACCCGCCGCCGGCCTTCACCAATTCGCGCCTGCTCCTGAACGCGCGCGAGCCATACCAGGGCATCTGCATCTGCCCTCCGCCGGGCTCCACCTTCTCGTTCTTCGACCCCGTCGATCATCCGGGCTCGGAGAGCCCCATTTTCTCAACAATTTTCGCCGATCCACTCAGCATGTCCTACTGCATTTTGATCGCGGGCTACAAGCGAGACGAGCGAGCCAGCGGAGTGTTAGGATCGACCTACGACTCCATGACTAGAATCTACCAATTCTCGACCGACTCGTGGACCTCGGGCGGCATGCTCCCGCGCAAGGAGTTCTACGGCACGGGCGGCGTCTTCTGCAATGGCTTCTTCTACAGCGTGGTCCGCATCATGTGGCGCCGGCCGACCATCATTGTCTACGACTGGCGCAAGCGCGCCTGGAGCGACCTCGAGATCGACCTGCCCTCGTCCATTCTGCCTCCGCACCTCGTCGAGCACCACGGCGATCTGCTGATCGTCGGCTCGTGCTACGGCGACCAGTGGCGCCAGTACCTGCGGATCTCGGGCTCCTCCGCCGCTGCTGTCGCCGACTCGCCCCTCGAAGTGACGCAGCCGAGCTGCATTCGCATTTGGCAGCTCGTGCTGCACGAGGGCTCGAAGTGGACCGAGGTGACCCGCATGCCCAAGCAGCTCTACGACGATTTTGTCAAGCAGGCGAATGGCTACTACGAGTGCGTCGGCCGAGGCGACCTCATTTACTTCGCCAAGGAAAGCGGCCATGGGCCCGAGCTCGTTTACGACCTATCGTGCGACGAGTGGACGAGGGTTTCTGGAGGCGTCGCTGGCTCTGGCAACATGGCGCAAGTTCAATTCCGCAAAGAAATTCATCTTTTTAAACCTTCTGTTCGTGTTCCCTGACATGCGTGCGAGCAGTGGCTTTCGTTCCTGACGTGCGCGACAGACGATCCTGGACTCGGTGAGTGCTGTGCTGTGCCATGGAAACTATTGTTTCATGTCCCTAGAGCAGCAGTTAAGCGAGCATCGCAAGTTAGAGGCAGGCTTGTCATTTTCAGCGGACGATGATGAGGAGATTTAATTCTGTGTACCAGATGCGCGAGAAGTTCTGTATATAATATCGGAGATCAGAAGCTTTGACACAACACTTGACTAATTGCAATTTTTTAACATGAAATTTGCCTCAAAAGCACATTCCTAAAATCATCGAAAGTCAACCAGCAAGCCAAGTCCTTGGTAGTTTGGCCAAATCCACCCTTTAGATTGCTTCTGTGGTTTAATTTATCCCCTTTTCAAATCTTTAAAAGGAAAAAAATTGCTTGGATCTGGTAGGCTGGCTGGCTGTGTAGCTGCGGCCAATCAGAATCGGTGAGTGGATGTGACTGACTAGCACGCTCTGAAGCCTTCCAAGACATTGTTGACTTGGAATTTCGGAACAATTTGATTTTGTCCTCAATCCTCGCGTATTCCGGAGGAGATTTCTCGAGAATCGCTAACTCACGGTTCTACAGGCAATGATGCAACTTTACTTATCCATTTAAAGGTTTAAAGGGTTGTTTTTGTTTAGCCCCATCATTCCCCGTAATCTACCAAATCCGCGCATTCTGCTGAATCAGATGAAGAGTGGTCCCAGGCAATAGGAGGATATGGATCAGAGGCTAGCTAGCCCGGGCAGATGACGGGCTCGGGTTTTGAGATCTAAATTGGATGTTGGTCTTTTTGATAAAGCGAACACTTCTTCTTCTCAGACCATCCACTTGATGGTCGAGGCACGCGCAAGGGGGAGTGGCTTTTGGTGCGATGTTGAGGTAGGTGCGCCAAAAGTGGGTCTTCTATTTGCTACATGAATGACAAGACTCATTGCAATCTTCCTCCTCCTCTCTGAAGGCCCCTTGTTTCGAGGGACCTTCACTAATTGTGCAGGCAAGTGAAAACGTGCTAGCAAAAGCGTCATGCTTTTGAGTGAATGCAAGGCTCCTGGATCAGGTGTTAGGTAGAAAACTGAAAGGGGTGAGAATTTGCATGGCAGAGACAGATCTCTAACGAGGGGAGCTCAGAAGGCAGTTCACGCCTTTTCTCCTCTCTGCATGAGGAATAGAAGCTACATGTGTGCAGGGTATCAATATTTAACCCAGGTTACAGACCTTGCGCTCTTTTATCAAGACTTACGAGCTTCCGCTTTCAGAGCCCAGGTTTTCGTCATCAGTGATCCAGGATTTACGTAAAGAATCTCGATACTCCATCTAGTTGTGTTACCTCTCTAATAGAGCACATTTTAGTCAGCCAGAATCCTTCAAGCATTTCACTTTGGTCATAAACCGACCTCGAAGCACGGGACAAGGATTGACAAATCGTACGAGCCTTAACGCGAGTCTTACGAGTCACGACGATTGCGGTAAGTGTGATTGACTAGGTTATGAAGCATAATGTGGATTGCTGTGTTGGGATGGGTAGTTCGGTTCAGGTCAGTTTCTGACCTGTTTTCTGGTCATTCTTGTGGTATATGCACCAGAGTGTCATTTGCATGATGCCAAAAGCGATTGAAGCTGCGTTAGGAATCTGCAGGAGCAACAATTGTGGGACTGTATCTGAGAATGATCGATCAGACGTAGGTGAGCAGATCTATCTTATCACACGATGACAGTTCATGACTATTGTCTGTCACTGGAAATTAGACCTTGCATCCGAATATTAAACAGCACTGAACCAGAGACAAACTGAGTTTTCTTCCATCCTTGCTAAGCTCAAAGCAAATGGTATAATGGATGTAGCACTGGTGGGAAGGGCCAACGAGATTGTCTGTACAAGCGTTATGAAGAGCAAGAACTTACTATAATAAAAACATCCGCCGGCCAACAACCGTAGGCTGTCCATATGCTCCCATTCAAAAAAATCCATACAGATAGAAGTATGGGCAGATACTTGACGCTTTTCGTTCTGATCACCTCAGCCTAAGAATCGACCCATCAAGTTCATAAACGAGTTTCAGATTGTGTTCTGTGTTAGCAGTGCAGTACCCCTCATGACGCAGACCTTATGCACTCTGCAACTCGTAGATAACTTTTATACCTCTAGCAGCTAAAGCGAATTGGCCTCGTCACTGTAAGTGGGCGGGTGGGGAAATTTGAGGACTCTACCCAAGATGACATCTGCTTCTATTCCTTCTTGTATTCCTCCAGTGCAATAAGGTCTTTGACAAAAGCGACAGGCAGCAAATTGAAAGGGGCTACGAGGGCTACAGCAAATCGCGGACAAGATCTTACTCTCAACAGCAGAAAGTGTCATGCCTTGGTGCGTGTTTGTATGCTCTCAAACCGAAGTTTATGAAGGGGAGAGGGAGGGGATACAAGTACCATGACAGTCAATGGAGCAAAAGACTGGAAGATGCCAATGATCACGCACACAGACCCAATCATTTTGGTCCGGATATTAGGCTCGTCGAGCTTTATCAGCGCAACGCACGTGATGATGACAAAAAGTATTGCACAGGCGACGATGAACGCCCACGTTCTTTTCTGCTTTGCGGGTAAACATAACAGTACAGCATTATCATGATCTGTATTCAGCAGCCAGTCAGCCGACCAGCCGAACTAACTTACTCTCTCTGAGTTCATATGACAGCACACAGCAATTAGGAGTGCCTGTAACTTACCCTGGATCCAAATGCGCAAGCTATTGCAATTTTGCATCAGAAGAGCACAAGACAAGCGTCAGCTCGGCTCTTGCCATGGAGACAAGACGTAGGCTATAAGAATTCACTTCTGTTCAGATAATCCCGGATTCAAGTCCAAATGCACTTGGATGGAGTCGGCTGGATTAGATCCGGTAATTAAAACGTGCATAAACCGAGCCCAGCTACGACAGAATTGTTTGATTTGGGAAAGGGCAAAGCCCCATCCTCTAAAACCACTTGTGCAGAGTCTGTGATACTGTGTGGGTCATTTAAGAACCAGGAGATGGCAGAAGAGAGAGAATGTTGAGCGTCAGGGAAGCTGCACGTTGTCAGTCCAGAGCAGCAGGTTTCATACCTTAGCTGTTCCCGCGACGTAATACATGTAGATAGTGACATAGCAGAATTCCACCACGAGGCCAGCAGTATTGATACTGATGATAAGCGTCGCGTTCTTCACCGCGGGGAGCCCGTATATAATCCAGAAGGAACAATTGAGCACAGTGAGCACATAGGGTGCAGGCGTGAATTGGCCCACTTCCTTCGTTTTGAAGATGTTCCAGAATGTGGGCCTGATTTCAGTCACAGATATATCAAGCACCCAGCTCGCTTTGTCAGAAAAAGACTGTGGCCAGAGGTCATCTATCCATCCATCCATGCAGACACTGGACACATAATCAAGGTTCTTCTAGATCATGAATTTTGAACACCTGTCCAATTATTGAGTAGCGTTCTTTTGACAGTGGTTCGACCCCACTTCGTCACGTTCGTTATTGTCATTGCATTTTGACCTAGAACGAGATCGAAGGTGATCGACATGTGAGCTTGCTAATCTTGCTGTAAAATGAGTACACAGCAACAGATGCTTGTATATCTTCCCGCACCCCAAAACCAATTTCACTTAGTTTCTGAATCGGCATTCTGGTTCGGATGTTGGTCTCATGAATTTTTCCCCTGCTCGTTCGACGCGAATTTTACAAGTACGATGGAAAGTAGGTTCTTACAATGGAGACAAAAACAGCAACATGGCGCATATATTTCCTGCAGGGAAAGACAACAATTGCACGTATGAGTAGGTCCCATCGAGGTATTGACTTCTGGCAGGTCGATTTAATGCGTATGTTTTCATCTATGAGCAGATCGTCAACTTCTGGTCGACGATCCGAAGTAGGTAGAAATTATGAGATTAGCAAGCAGCCAACCCGTCGATAAAATCTACCCAGCGAAGGAGAAGGCTCAGTCTCTACAATACAGCCCGCGTCCTGAAGTATTCAAGGAGATCCTTGATCCAGCATGCTTCTGGATTCAGCTACCACACATTTGAGTGAATTGGAATACACGGGTTGGCTTAGATGGACCGTAGAGATGAGAATCAAGTAGAGCGTCCATTCAATGGCCGTACCAAGGATTCCCACGACTGTGTTGAAAGTATGCTGGGCCGTCATCCTTGAGGACCTCCAATTATGAGCCAAATCTATTTAGTTCTGACGAGATCAGCTACGACAAAAGTCGAAAACCTCCATGGCAATGAATGGCGTGAACCCTGTTCGCTGGATTTCCAAAGAACAGAATGTTTCGAGTTCGATCGAGTGATTCAAGCTACAGATTCAAACTGGACAGGACGAACCCCCTCATCCGCGCCATCGTGTGTGCCAGGGCGGCACTCCAAGATGGCTTCGGCTTGCAGCAAGGGCCAGCGCGCGGTTGCTCAGATGACCCGATTCAGCAGAGCATAGACCGCTCAGGGCAGATCGAGGTCGGAGGAGCGCATCAAACTACTCGCTCGATGGCTCGCTCGCTCGCTCGCTCGAGCCCTTCAACCCCCGCACAAGCCGGAAGGGAAATCGCGATCCGATCGCGCTTCGAGGTCCCCCGTTCCGCAATCTCTGTCAAGGTGGGGAGGGGGAGCCCAGCAATTCAGACGGTCACGAATCGATCAATCCATCGATGCCGCAGCAAAAAGGAAGGAAGGAGGGCATGCCCAAAATGTGCTGGGGAAAAAATCGCGCGCGCGACAACCTCGACACCGCTTCGTCCATAGACAACAACCGCTGGAATCTCTCTGTGCGCATCGCTGGTGCATGGATTTGCCTGGCGCGCGGCGCTCGCGGCCTCTGGCGCTTTTCCTGCTCTGCGCCTTTTGGCTTGTTGCCCCCCTGTCCGCTTCTCCCTTGTTCTTCTAACGAGCGCCCATGGGTTCTTGTCTTCGCCTTCATCCTTCTGGAACGTGCCATACAGTACGTCTACTGTATTGTGGTGACAGGCAAGGACTGTACAGAATTTGACCTTTCTTCGCGGCCCCGATGCAACCGAAGCCCGGTACATACCGATGCCCCGACGAAGGATGTGACCTAGTGGGACGTATATTCTGATGCAATTTACGGTGATACTAAAGGGGACTAAATTAACCTAAATTATTTTTTAATAAACTAAATTAATCTGAATTAACTTTTTTATAGACTAGATTATCTAAAATTAATATTTTTAGGAGACTAGATTAAGCACGTAGACGAGTGAGTAATATAACAATGTCTCCGTATCACTTAAAAGCTGTGATTCTAATTACTCAAATCCGCGAATGGAAGCGCTAACTCACGGCCGGGAGAAGGGTTGGTGCTTCGGGGATGCCAAAATGGGATATCTTTACGTCGAGAGTCCGGTACCTGTTCTCTATTTTTTTTTTTGGTTGGTCTCGAAGGGTAAGTGGTGTAGATCTGCAAATGTCCACTCTCATGGTTTAAAATAGGCCTGTTCAGATAGTCAACAAACTTTCGAGAAAACAAACCTTCTACCGAGATCAAGCATCCATATGTGGTACATACCATACTGTTTATTTTGATTCGATTATTCCATTTTTATAACTTTTTTATTTATGAATCCATAATTTTTTTTTAACACATTTCATGTTTTGATTCTTTCACAATCCACGGTAAAGAGTATAACTGATGTGAATGTTTTTTGTCTTAAAAATGTTTTGTGCGTGCATATAGCATATATTAATCGTAGTAATGGATAAGTAATTGACAACTGAATATTTTTTTGGATTCTTTTTGTGAGTTATCCTTTTCAAATTTTCTCATCATAAACCATTAGATTTTTGATTTCTAACAAAAAAGTTAGTGAAATTCATTAACTTAACACTACACTCCAGTTCGAAACTCAGGTATGATGTCATCATGTAAACATAAAACTGAACCCTTAACAATATTCTTTTAACTTTTAATATTCACTTTTAGAATCTTCAATTTTATGTTGTAATCATTCAGTATATTACATTATATTATTTAAGTGATCTGCATCAATTTTATTTAAAAAAAGAGATAATTTAAATTACGTACATATTTTTTAATATGTTTTTTATAAATTTAAAATGAATTTTTCAAAAAATCAATTAAAATTGATGCATCAGTCAATATCATCAATGCAATCTTGCAACTTTGAATTTGAACATCAATTTTTTAATAAATAATTTGGAATAAAAAATAATGTAATTAAATCTATTTTCTTTTTAAAAAAGATGTGATTTTTAATGATAAAATATGATAATTAATTTTTCTATGATGCCCTTAAAATTAATCAAAAAAGCGATTAGATCTTGATTTAAGAATAAAATTTTAACCATAACAAAATGATCACAAATCATTGAGTTCTGTCAATTGTTTTTTCAACTTTTTGAATTTTAAACCATGTTGGTCAACTTCCTTATGTGTTTTTAATGGTGCAAAGATCCTCGTAAATCAACTAGTAATGTTTTATATTGAACATACAATCTCTCTTGTGTTGAGGAAACTCCGGTTAAGGAGCAACCTCATGCTTTAGCTAATAATAGCTATGAGTATCGCTGGTGCTGGGGTATTTATACCCCGGGGTTTGTGTATTTTTTTTCAGTAAAACTCTAACGCATATTTTTTGATGCACGTAGATTTCCTCGTGAGGGTGAATCATGTTACATCGTGTCTTGGCTTGGCTTGAGTGTGTTGTTGTGTTTTTTGGATTTACAATTAGTATCTGAGCTAGGTTTGATTCAAAATTTTTCTAGTGAGGGTGGAAGGTTTGAGCTAAACTATCAAACGTCTACAAAACTTTTCTACTTTCTGGTTTTAGATCCTGGTTCAAGGTATTCATAATCTTCTTGGGAGAAAGTTCAATTTGAGTACAAGGAGTGTTGTTTGAGATTTTCAGCAAGAGAGTTTTTGAACTTGGGGCACGATCCTCTTCAGAAAATTGAACATGACGTTGAATAAACTAATTTTTTGCACAAAAAAATTGAGAGACACATTTGCATGCAGAGGATTTGACATAAATTATCCAGACCTTGACTCTGGATCGTTGATAAATGTTGAGGAGACGATGGGACCTTTGACGAGAAAGATCATCACAGAGCAATGTTCTCAGAGTTTGAGTGCATTGTTGTTGTGGATGCCTCCATGGGGGCTACAAAATAAGTATGTTGCCTCCTCTTTTGCATGAGAGTTCAAATACTGAAAGTTATTTCATCAGTCGTAGAGGGATATTTTTATACTCTTGTATGCATGATTGATAAGCTTCGATTTTTCCACACTGAGAGTTTTTCCTTCTTGCTTCTAGGGGCCAACTAAAAAAACGATGTCTTCTAAATTTGCAGACAAATTTTTGTCATTAACTAGAGTGTTTTGCCGGTTCCGCAGGGATGAATGGCTTCCTACAATCTCAAAGATGTGGCAACAATTTGAAGGGTTTATAATTTGAAGTGGGGTTTGAAGGCTATTGACAGCTTTTCAAGCATTGATATAACGTAAATAATGATGAGTAAAGAAGCAAAAGATGATGCAATATTGTGATGTACTTGCCTTAGTAATATGCTCACTGTGTACATGCCTGAAGAAGTAGTTGTGGCTTTCATCGTAGTTTCATAGCTTGACTTCATGGTCTACACTAACATTGAACATACTAGTACCATATGAGACACCGTCAGTTATTACTCTAGAATGTTATGACTACAACTTAGTTCTAATTAATTCTCGTGTAAAGAGGGAACTTTGTGTTAGGTTTTTATCTAGAATCTCCGGTGGAGTAATAATGTAGGTTATAGAGATTACTCCTTGATTGAAATTAACCTCAACAATCTCCTCTTTAATTCACATTAAGAAAAAAATATCCTCTATAATCTACATTAATACTCCGAGGTAAGTTCTAAACAAAAATCTAACACAAGGTTTTCTCTTTACACAAGAGTTAACTAGAACTAAGTCGTAGTCATAACATGAGAGAGTAATAACATAAAGAGTTAACTAGAACTTGCTAGCATAGAGGGAACGGAAACCTCGTAATCTATATAATTACACCCTAACCTTGATAATGTCACACTTGTTAATAGAATACCTTGATATTGTCACATAAAAATTTGAAACTGATTTCCCTAGTGTAAAACTCCCTCTTTAATATCACTATCACCCTTGATAATGTCACTATTTTTTTCCAAAATTTCTAGTGTAAGTGTGATAATATCAAATATGAATGATTATATGTGACAGTTGGACGTGTAGTATCATGAACCTCCCTAGTGATACAGTAAATGAAATGCTACTTGCTTGTACGTGGACGAGGGGTTCAAGATGCAAGGAAGATGATTTCGCAATCGGCTATTGTGTTCAAGCTGAGAGGAAGATAAATTTGCGATGAGGGAGCGCAGCCCACGGCAGAGCTTGAAAGCGCTTAATCTATGCAGCCTGCAATCAGAAAAGCAATTTAAGTACGTAAATCTTTTATGTTCTGATGGTCATTGTGTAGTTGGACTTGCAGTCATTAGTATCGTTCCTGCTGTAGAGCTTTCGTGGCTCGGATGCCCACGTTCTGAAGTGACCAAAGTTGTTGCCTACTTATGCTATTGACTAGGCACTACAAGTGTTCTACGATTTTCAACGCACTTCTCCTAAACTGCAGTTTTACATTAAGAGGAGAGAATTCCAGCTGGCTTACTCGAGAGTAGCAAGTTTCAATCGGGGAACGTCTGGGCTGCCAAAGCTAGGACGCTTTGAGAGAGCAAAAGACATTACAGTATCTTGTGGTGGCTTCGGTTTGGAAGATTTAAATGTTCAGCCTAATGTCATTTCTTCCTTTTTTGCTTGTAAGCTTCGGGTTGTCGATTCTCGCTGTGCATTTATGACATTCTTGAGACGTTTGTCAATGTACGATTTTTTGTAATTTTCCAAGGCTGTTGCCTTAGATAGATTTGAACATCAAACTGGTTCAATGACAATAGTGCATAAAAATCCACAAGCAACTGCCGACAAGAAATACTTAGGATTTACATGTCCATTTCTTGTTCTGATTAGATATGTAGACAATTCGGATAACAGCCTTGCGCACTCACCATCAGTGGTTGTTTGAATATCTTCATTTGTTATAATCTTTTTTTATATTATAATTTTATTTTGAGTTTTTACCTATTTTTTGATAATATCACATTATGCACAAAATGTGACATTATCGAAAAT